GACGTTAACTCTCAACCTGCCATCTAGGAGCCCGATACCTCGTTGTACGCCCCTGCCTTGGACGCGATTAAGAACTTCATCAAGACCTCGACATCTTCTATGACTGCTGTTCCTAAGCCCTTGAAATTTCTAAGACCGCATTACGATGAGCTCACGGAGCTCTATGAGAAGTGGGCGGCCGGCCCGGTTAAGGTTCGTTGCCCGTCATGCAGACCATACTATCAACCTAACCAAGTATGTATTTCTAGGACTCGCTCGCCGATATGCTCTCGGTTCTTGGCATGACCTACGGAGATGAGGAGAAGCTCGAAACCCTGAAGTACCGCCTTCTCACCAAGTCCGAAGACCTCGGTTCCTGGGGCCACGAATACATCAGACACCTGGCACTGGAGATTGGGCAAGAGTACCAAAACCGGCTTAACGCTGAGAAGGATGTACAGGACTTGATCGATCTGTCGCTGTCTCTTGTTCCCTACTTCCTGAGCCACAACGCCGAAGCCGATGCTGTCGATCTTCTCAGTGAGCTCGAGATCATCGAGGAGATCCCGCGCTTTCTGGACGAAAACACATACGGAAGGGTCTGCTTGTACATGGTCAGCATGGTCAACCTTCTCACATACCCCGAAGACCAGCAATTCCTTCGTACCGCCCATGAGATCTATGTCCGCTACAAGGAGCTCACCAAGGCCGTTGTTCTTGCTATCCGTCTGAACGACATTGACCTCATTAAGAGCGATATCAATGCCACTGAGGATAGGTCGCTCAAGAAGCAGATGGCGTTCCTTGTTTCTCGGCAACAAATATGGCTTGACCTTCCTGAGGAAGAGGAAGACCAGTCCTTCATGGACAGCTTGAACAACACCTCCATTCCAAAGCACTTCAAGTCTCTTGGAAAAGAGCTCAACATCCTTGATCCCCAGATGCCGGAGGACATTTACAAGACCCACCTCGAAAGCAGCCGCGGTGCTGGCCTTACAAATGTCGACTCCGCCAGGCACAACCTCGCCAGTGCCTTTGTCAACGCCTTCGCCAACGCTGGATATGGCAACGATAAGATGATGCTTGTGGAGGGTGACAAGGGCCCCTGGGTCTGGAAGACCAAGGACGACGGCATGCTGTCGACGACTGCTTCGATGGGTATGCTTCTGCACAGGGATGTCGAGATTGGTCTGGACAAGATCGACAGGTATACCTACGCCTCGGAGGATCAGATCAAGGCGGGTGCATTGCTTTCTATCGGTATCCTCAACTCGGGTGTGCGGATAGACTCCGACCCTGCTTTGGCTCTCCTCAGTGACCCCGACAATCTCGAGGCCAAGAGTGTGCCCATGAGAGTTGCTTCTATCATGGGTCTCGGTCTGGCTTATGCCGGATCGAACAAGGAGGAGTTGCTTGAGGTTCTACTCCCCATTGTCGAGGATGGGTCCTTGGACATGCAGCTGTCTGCCATGGCAGCTGTATCCCTGGGTCTTATCTTTGTGGGATCTTCTAATCACCAGGTCAGTGAGGCCATTGCCACCACATTGATGGACGAGGAGCGGCAGAAGCAGCTCAAGGATAAGTGGACTCGCTTTATGGCCCTGGGTCTGGCGCTCCTTTACTTCGGTCGTCAGGAAGAGGTCGACGTCATCCTTGACATCCTGAAGGCAGTCGATCACCCTATGGCCAAACCGACCTCGGTCCTTGCTTCGGTCTGCGCCTGGGCGGGTACTGGCACCGTCTTGAAACTGCAGGAGCTCCTCCACATCTGCAATGATATCATCGACGAGACTGAGGAGAACAAGGGTGATGAACTTGTTCAGTCGTATGCTGTTCTGGGTCTGTCGCTCATTGCTATGGGTGAGGAGGTCGGGCAGGATATGATCTTGCGGCAGTTCGGCCACCTGATGCATTACGGTGCCAGCAACATCCGCAAGGCTGTTCCCCTTGCCATGGGCTTGATCACACCCAGCAACCCTCAGATGAAGGTTTACGACACTCTGTCCCGGTACAGTCACGACACCGACAACGATGTCGCTATCAACGCCATTTTCGCCATGGGTCTTTGCGGTGCTGGTACCAAGAATGCCCGTCTGGCGCAGCTGCTTAGGCAGCTGGCCAGTTACTACCACCGCGACCAGAACACTTTGTTCATGGTCCGCATTGCCCAGGGTCTTTTGCACATGGGCAAGGGTACAATGACCCTGAACCCCTTCCACACAGATCGCCAGGTCCTCTCGCGCGTATCAGCCGCAGGTCTGCTCACCGTCCTGGTGTCTATGATCGATGCCAAGCAATTCGTCCTCGCCGAACACCACTACCTCCTCTACTTCCTCATCACCGCCATGTACCCACGCTTCCTTGTCACGCTCGACGAAGACCTGCAGCCTCTCACCGTCAATGTCCGGGTCGGTCAGGCCGTGGACGTTGTTGGCCAGGCGGGTCGCCCTAAGACCATCACTGGTTGGCAAACACAGAGCACGCCGGTGCTGCTGGCCTACGGCGAACGTGCAGAGCTCGAAGACGAGCAGTACATTCCTCTCAGCAGCACTCTAGAGGGTCTGGTCATCTTGCGCAAGGTAAATAATCCGTGCTAGTGATAATATGATAAACCATGATGCTAATGTTATGGCAGAACCCCAACTGGGAAAATCAAGACTCGGTTTAATGGTCCTTCGACGTGACACGACTGTGTGGGTGAGCTGAGCAGGGGGCTTGCTGCTCAGGTACTGTGTTTTCATGTAATCAGCACGAATTGGAAAATAGCAGGCACCGATTGTCATTATATTCGATCTATCAATTAGACTGGTGGATGTGGCACGGGTGATTAATGCTAGTATGACTTCTAGGCTTATATATGTCTGAGAAACCTCAATTGAAACAGATTCTTTCACCAATAGACTAAATTAGTAGTAATAATATTAGTATTGCTGCTATGAAGTGATTCTTTAAGCTACTACTATTTTCCAAACTTGAAGCTGTTTCTCGACACCCGTCCGTAGTAGATGTATATATTATACAGTGTAACTAGTAAACTACCGGATTCGATAGGTGATGAGCAACTTCGAAGTCATAGAGGGGCATCTAACAAGTCAATTAAACATACCTTTACGATTTACAACTAAACCAGTGATTCTTTATATTCTCTTTTGGATATTTTCGTTGAGCAACCAACTACTCTGGACTATATATTCTGTAGGACCTTGGAGACATCCGAAATAGGAAACTAGGGCATAGGGCAGCGGCATCCTGACTTTTCCGCGCATCAATGTACTGGTCGACGCCTTCATCGACAGCGCAGACTCACGTTCCACGCTATACGCAGTCGGTAGCTTAACTTGTGAGCCGATCCCGACATCGAACACACTGCATCATGAAGCTCGATCCGAAAGCGATCCGCTACCTCACCTCTGAGGACTTCCGCGTGCTCTCCGCGGTATGCCCCTCCCCCGCCCTCTGATCGCAGCCTATTGTCTGACAGCTAACAGAACTGTGTCGCAGGTTGAACAAGGAAGCAGAAACCATGAAGTCGTGCCCACGCCTCTGATCGCGCAGATTGCTGGCCTCCGCGGTGGCAGCGGAGTGCACCGGTCTATCTCCAACCTCGCCAAGACCAACCTGATCGCTAAGGTTAAGAATGCGAAATGTACGGTTGTCGCCTATGTTGCTGTACGGAACTGAGTATAGTGAAGAATTTACTGACAAGTGCCTGTTAGATGATGGATACCGTCTCACCTACGGAGGTCTCGATTACCTCGCCCTCAACGCCCACCAGAAGCAAAAGTGCATTTACTCCGTCGGTAACCAGATTGGCGTTGGCAAGGAGTCCGATATTATCGTCGTCGCCGGCCACGATGGAACACAGCGCATTCTGAAGATTCACCGTCTCGGTCGTATCTCCTTCCGTACCGTCAAGACAAACCGCGACTACCTCCGACACCGTAACACTGGCTCGTGGATGTACATGTCGCGCCTAGCGGCAATGAAGGAATACGCCTTTATGAAGGCCCTACGAGAGAACGGCTTCTCCGTCCCCGAACCCATTGCGCAGAACCGCCACACCATCGTCATGAGCTTGATCGATGCGTTTCCGCTACGACAGATCTCCAAGGTCGCCCATCCCGCATCACTGTATTCGGAGCTGATGGATATGATCGTGCAGCTGGCGCGGTTTGGTCTGATTCACGGTGACTTCAACGAGTTCAACATCCTGATCAAGGAAATAGAGGATCCGGATGCTAAGGGGAAGGGCCGTGAGGATGACGAGGATGATGAGAATATCCAGTTGGTGCCAGTCATGATCGATTTCCCACAGATGGTGTCGATCGACCACCCCAATGCGGAGATGTACTTTGACCGTGATGTCAACTGCATCAAGCGCTACTTCCAGCGCAAGTTCCACTTCACTAGTGATGCTCCCGGCCCTTTCTTCAAGGATGCGAGGAAGCAGCTCATCCAGAACCCCGGGAAGCGGTTAGATGTGGAAGTTGAGGCGTCAGGATTCTCGAGGAAGATGGCGCGCGAGTTGGAGAACTATATGAAGGAGGTTGGCGCCAATGGCGACAACGATGAAGACAAGGAAAGTGACGAGGAGGAAGAAGAGGAAGAGGAGGAAGGCTCCGGCTCTGAAGGGGAGGAGAACGAACAATCACAGGAGGTGGACGAGAGTGCCCGGCGACTTGGGAACCTGCAGGTATCGGAAGGACAGTAAACAGCACACCAGTAAATGATAGTAATGACCATGACGAATATAAAATATTTCTCATTCAACCATATTTCAAAATGAACAAATTTTTATTTTCCTCGTACTTATAATAATAAATGTCTAGGACCTGTTACAAAATATCCGACCAAAAACCACACTACGGTACCCGACGCGGCCAACCACGCAATTTCACGTTTGCTCCCGACGAACTTTCCGCCGGGGCATATCAAATCAAATCAATCTTCCCTCTACGAATATCACCACCACCACCACCACCACCATCACCTCAATCGGACCCATTCAATTCACCCTGAAAATGGTCCGACGATTCTCCAAGTTCCCCAAAAAGCCCGCCGACTGGCTCGGTCCCGCGGCGCCTCTGTCCGAACGGAAGCAGATCTTCCTGTACGCTCCATCCTATACAATCCCATACCAAATTCCCATTCCATAAATAAAAAATGTGCAAAACTGACATCTGGAATTGAATAAAATAGTCCCGACTTCACAATCGCCCTAATCCGCACGCCGTTCCTCCCTCCCCGCTACGCCACCTTCTACGTGCCGCTCAACTTCAACAAACTGGATATGCGCGATTACCTGCAACGTCTGTACGGCGTGGGCGTCGTCAGCGTGCGATCATTCGTCGAGCAACAGAAACTGACGAGGTTGAAGTCCCTGGGTCGTTATGGATATGGCAAGATTCGTCGCCCGCAGTCGAAGAAGAAGATGACGGTGGAGATGAAGGAGGCGTTTGTTTGGCCTGAGGCGCCGAAGGATATGGCTCCGTATGTTTATTTTTCCTTTTTTGTTCTCTGTGGAATTGTTGGGTTTCGATTTGTTGTTGTTGGAGGATTGGTGGGTTTTTGGGATAATGCTGACTCGTGGTTTGTGCAGATGGGAGAAGGACCAGTTCTTCAAGGCTCAGAAATACCAGGAGGAGATCCAGGATAAGCAGAAGCCGGATGCGGGAATGAAGGCGGATGAGAAGGAGAGGGAGGTTTATAAGGAGGATGCGAAGAAGTTGTTGGAGGGTGCTAAGCCGTGGAGGCCGACTTGGAGGGCTTTGGGGTTGGGGCATTATGAGAGGCCGTTGGTTAAGTCGTGAGTTCCTTTGATTCATTGATATGTTGGTTTAGAAATTTGTTGTTTTGTTTGGTATATCAGGGTTCAAGTTAGACAGTTTGTGACTGAGGGCTGTCGTCGTGTATTATATTTACATTACTACCTACTTGTGTATGTTCAATACTATTCATTGTGTTTGGGATGAGCTGGGTGATTGAAATAGTATTTGGTTGTAACTGACAGATAACTATGTGTGGAATTGAGGATATGTTGACGCTGGTAAAGGAAAGTGGTCGCTGCGCTTAGAAGGACAATAAGAGAACAAACAATAAAGCACAAGTACTATCTACACGGGCTATTCTGCCGTGTTGGGATTGAATAGTGAGTGAGTGGAGAGAGCCCTTACAGTCGGCTCTCGATGAAGTTGGTGTGCTGACCAGGCCAGTGGGCATCTGGCCACACCTGTCGGATAGCTTCCCAGATATGCCTGTCTAATGTTAGCAATATGCAGCAGCAAGTATGGATGGTTGAGATACTCACGTTACATAAACAATTTCAAGTCCTTCGCTGACCTCCTGCGGCACGTCCTTGACATCCTTGCGGTTGTGATGGGGCAAGAGGACGGTCTTGACGCCGGCGCGGTGCGCACCGATCAGCTTCTCCTTGATGCCGCCAACAGGCATCACCTTGCCGCGGAGCGACACTTCGCCGGTCATGGCAACACTGGGAGGTACTGCCTTGCCGGTGAATAGGGAGATCAGACCCATCGTGTGTGCCAGGCCTGCCGAGGGGCCATCCTTCGGGATGGCTCCGGACGGGCAGTGGACGTGCAGGCTGCGGTTCTTCATGATATCCTCGGTGGGATCCGCAGTCAGTCCAAGCTCAAAGGCATGGGCTTTCACCCATGTCAGAGCCACCTCCACGCTCTCCTTTAGCACGTCTCCCAGCTTTCCGGTGAGCTGGACCCGGCCGTTGCCTGGCATGTCTGCAACCTCGATGAACAGGATGCTGCCTTGACCTCCAGTGGAGTATGCGACAAGTCCAGTGACAACACCGGGACGACCATGCTTTTCGGCGATTTCTTCCTCAAAGCGCTCGATACCTAGTATATCTTCCAATTCGTCCATACTCACCATGGGGTTGTACGCATCAAGTCGGCCTGCATCGCCCGCATCCGCAAACTGGACGGCCTTGTATCGACAGACCGAGCCAAGCTCACGCTCTAGGTTACGAACACCCGACTCTCTGGTGTAGGACGTGATGACTTTGTCAATCACTTCGTCAGACAAAACAACTTGGCCATCCGAAAGCCCATTCGCTCTGATCTGCTTGGGAATGAGGTGTCTCTTGGCAATGTGTCGCTTCTCAACCGTAGTGTAGCCGGACAGAGAGATGGTTTCCATCCGGTCGAGTAGGGGTGCCGGGATAGTGTCCAAAGAGTTAGCAGTGGCAATGAAGAGTACCTTGCTCAGGTCAATAGGAATGTTGATATAGTGATCCGAGAATGTATGGTTCTGTTCAGGATCCAGGACCTCGAGCATGGCTGCTGATGGGTCTCCTTGGAAATTGGCGCCTCCGACCTTGTCAATCTCGTCGAGCAAGAACACTGGGTTGGCAACGCCGACCTTTTTGAGACCACTGACAATCAGTCCCGGCATCGCAGCAACGTAGGTCCGGCGATGGCCTCGGATTTCAGCCTCATCTCTAACGCCACCCAGAGAGATTCTGTGAAACTTGCGACCGAGCGATGAGGCCACTGATCGCGCCAAGCTGGTCTTACCAACGCCTGGTGGACCAACAAGCAGGAGGATGGGCGACTTGTCGCCCATGCGACGAGTCTTCAGCATATGCAGCTTGGTCTCAACAGCGACTCGATCCGTCTCGGACAACACAGGTACCTCCTTCTCGAGGTCGCCTCCATCGGATGCCTCAAGCTCTTTCGACAAGGTCTCAATCTGGCGCTCAACATCTCTGTTGGTAGACTGCTTGAGTCGGAGCACGGCCAAGTACTCAAGAAGCCTCTTCTTGATCTTTTCCAATCCATAGTGATCATCGTCTAGCTGCTTCCTGGCTCTCTTCAAAGTCTCCGGTCCAAGCTGGTCCTCGGTCATCTTCGTCCATGGGATATCCGCGATATTTTCGAGGTAGGTCCGGCAGACACCGTACTCAGCATTTGCTGGGTTCATCTTACGAAGACGTCGCAGCTCCTTGTCCGCAACCTTTCTCGCCTCAGGGCTGAGCTGGGCCTCTTGCAACCTCTGCTGCAGCTCATCGACCTCGTTTGATTCCTTGTCATCGTTGTCATTGTTTCGACCGGCTGACAACCCGGGTGGCGTCAGTCCGCTAAGACCAGCCATCGCCTTCCTTGCCAGGATCTCACGGTCACGAGGATCGATCTGGTTAATGTCGAACCCAGAGCTAGGAAAGCTGTTGGTTGTGATTGTAGTGACCTTCACATTGCTCTTGATGCTCTGTAATTGCCTAGTTAGCATCTCAACAACTCTCTCTAGTCTGATCTTGACGTCAAGCGATGCTAAAATCCGAAGCTTTTCTTCGAAGCCGGAGTCGGCGACGTCCGCCATAAAATCGGCCAGTCTACCCGCATGGGAGACATCGGACTTGGTAATGAACAGTTCGAACTTCCGGGCAATGAGTGGCGAAAGGCGGCTTCCAGGAGAAGGTAGTAAGGAAGACAATCGCAGCAAGGTCAGGAGCTCGCGAGATAGTTGTCGCAGCTGTTGGAATAACTCTACTGTTTCAGCATCGCCGGAGACTGTTTCTAGAAATGACCAGATTAGACACTCGTCCAGATAAGAAGTAGCAACAACAGCGCAGACCAACAAAAGAAAACCGACCTTTCTCATCATGAACAATAGCTTCAGCCTCGAAGTACGGCCTTTCCTTCAAGACGCGCCTAACAGTGAACCGCTGGACACCCTGGACCACGAGAGCCGGCTCCGAATAGACACGGCGCTGGATACCAATCACTTTACCAACGGTACCATGACGAAACAGATCCTCCTTTCTGGCTTGTCCAGCATCAATCATCTCAAACTCCTCCCTCCGGTCTTCATCCAAGCTTCCGTCATCGATGAGTCGCTGGCCGTCCTTGCTCAGATAAGGTGAGCTGAGGGGAACGCATCCGAAGGTGATAGCCGTTCCATCGCGCTTCACCACGGCCGATCGATCAACGATTGTCGACAGTAAATTGGCGAGATCCGGGCGATTCGAAACAGGAATCCGTAGCGTAATGCCAGGAAGTAGGACCGATCCTTTGGGCAGCGGAACCAAGGGGAGCTTGGTTGTTCTGCCGCTGTTGGAACCCATCTCGGTATGCCAGAACACAAAGGCACACACTCAGTGGCGATGACAAGATTAAAGTTGATGGAGAGGTGAAATGAGAGGTTTGTTTCGTCTGGGGAACGATGGTAGATCAGGACGACAGCGCACGGGGCTGTCGTGGCGGTCGGGTTATAAGGCAACTAGTAGAGGTGAGGTTCCACTGTTCCAGAACCCCGTCGATAGATGAAGGCGTGACTCTGGGGAGGAGATCCAATCCGATAAGCGCCCTTCTCTCCGATGCCGAGGTTCGCACGGGGCAACGTCAATCCCCCCGTCTGCGGAAACCGGAGTCCTGCAGCACAGCTTCCGCTCTTCCAGAACATACCATGGCAGGCTGTGAGTCTCTGAAGACATTGTGACCAATCTACTCTGTATCTTCTCTATTGAATCTCCGAGGGAAAGTACATTGACCGGGGCTAATCAGCGTGATGTGGCACTCGATGCCCCAGAAGCACGAGACCCGCGAAGAAAGGCGGTGTCTCCTCATCCGGTAACATTACCCGGATGTATAATTACCGTCGGGGGCTGGGCCGAGTCGTATGACAAACGCAAAATACGAGTAAAATACCCAGCGTCAAATGTCAAGATTGTCTCTGAAACATTTCCCCTCAATGCTTGAGAGCCGTGCAGCCCACTCTTCTGTTTAGTACTTCGACGCCCGCAATATTCTTCGCCTAGATCACGGTTAGATATACCTCAGTTCAACTCTCTCCCTAGAAACCCAATCGCTCCCTGCATACACCAACCATCGTCGCAATGGCTTCTGCCCCGCCCCACGCCACCAACCCCTCATCGCGCAAGACCTTCACCATTGGCACGCGCAAGTCCAAGCTTGCTCTGCTTCAAACGGATCTGGTTCAAGCGGCGCTCAAGCAAACATGGCCCGACTATGAGTTCAAGATCCACTCTCGAGAGACCGCCGGCGACCAGAACACGACCATTGCGCTCCGTGACTTCACGACCAAGAACCTGTGGACCCAGGAACTGGAGGACCTTCTGATTGCTGGCCAGGTTGACTTTATTGTACACTCTCTCAAGGGTACACATCCGCTCGTTCTTTATCTCGCCTTAAGAAGTAAAAACTGACTTATCTCTATCATTGCAGATGTGCCGACTCTCCTCCCCTCCTCCTGCACCCTCGGCCCCATGATGAAGCGCGAAGACACAAGAGACGTCCTGGTAATGAAGAAGGGCCTTTCATACAAAAGTCTGGCCGAGCTGCCCGAAGGCTCCGTTGTCGGTACCTCCTCCATCCGTCGTACCGCCCAACTCGCCCGTCGCTACCCCCACCTCAAGGTTATGGATGTGCGCGGTAACATTGGTACTCGGTTGTCGAAGTTGGATGCAGAGGATGGCCCATTCACGTGTCTCATCCTGGCTGCGGCTGGCTTGCTGAGATTGGAGCTGGGCGATCGTATCACCAGCTATCTCGACTCGAAGAACGGGGGAATGCTCTATGCTGTCGGTCAGGGTGCGCTCGGCATTGAGATCCGGAAGGATGACCAGCAGGTGCTGGACATGCTACAGAACATCGGTCATAAGGAGACCACTTTCGCTAGTTTGGCAGAGCGCAGCCTTCTGCGTACTCTTGAGGGTGGATGCAGTGCGCCGTTGGGTGTTGAGTCCGAATGGGTCAATGGTGCTTTGAGGATGCGCTCCATTGTGGTTAGTGTGGATGGTAAGGAGAGCGCTGAGGTTGAGATTGATGGGGCTGTTGATTCGCCTCAGGCTGCGGAGGAGTTCGGTGTTACTGTGGCTAAGGCGTTGGTCGAGAAGGGCGCCGGCAAGATCTTGGAGGAAATCCAGCGCAACAAGCAGACTGCTTAGATAGAAGCTGTAAAGTCTATGTGGTGGAGATGCTGGTCTTCTCCTTCACGGGAGATATGATGATACAATGGACATATATAGATGGATACCCATATGAAAAAAAGAAGAATGTTACGTGTCTGCTGAAGATACTTCTCCATTGCAACTAACTTGTTTAGTACCAGTAGACTTTCTGGGAGATTCATGACAGGGTGTGCAGTACTATTCTATCATTTGGTACTCATATCAGATTGGCCAACTTGAATGGCCAATCAGCCGTTAGAAATATATATATAAATTTCATGCACATCAACCCCGATTCAATGTATTGCCAGAGCCTCTAGGATTCGCCTCTTTATACTCGTCCCAAGCTCTGGCCTTCATTGTTTCTTCATCAGCCAAATCCATGTCATCTTCATCAACCTCAGGCTTTATGCCTGACTTCTCTCCCCCGCCTTCGATGACATTACCCCTCCTTTTCTCCTCTTCAAGATATTCATCAATCGTCATAGTGGGTAGATTATGTCCCGATCGGAAAACCCCTTGCTGGAGCTGCGTCCTGCGATCAAGCAACGTGAATGGCTGCATAGGCTTCCCCTCCTTGCTCAGGATAGGTCCGAACTTCCCTCCTCTCAGCAGTTCGGCAATCGGACGATCTAGCCGCTCGGAGTAGCTCGACTCGCTTGCCTGATTCCGCCGACGTGGATCATCCTGCAATGACTCAGCGGGGTTTGGCGGAGCACTGCGGATGGTTGACAGCATAGTCAGTTCTTGCGACAGCAGATCCAAGGACTGGAATGACTGGTGGATGTAGAGGTTGATCTCGGCGAGGTAGAGTTTCCGAACATCCTCCTCGTCGCTTTGTAGCCGGCTTTGGTTATTCGCAAAATACTTGAGAGAGTGTAAGTAGATCGCTCAGTAACATAAAATGAGCAAAGCCTATCCAACCTCTAATTTCTGCTTCAGCTCCTTCTCCTCCTTGAATCTGTTTATCTTCACTTCTCGGCGGGTCGCAGCATCATTGGTTGTGGTCAGGGAAAAAGAGGTGGGGTTCGAGGTGTAACGTTCATAAAGCTTCTTGTCCTTCTCGTTAAGGACGTCGTAATCGTCTAGTCGGGCGAGGAAGCGTTCATATTGCCCAAGCGCACGTCGGAGGAGAGCTTCGCGGTCCGAGCTGTAGGTTCTTTGGAGAAGGTCTGCAAGATGATACTCTACCGTAAGGTATCTGGAGGTAGGCAAGAAGTTAGCGCATCCTCATGCAGCTCCGCTAGGTATGTCATAGCTATACTGGATATCTGTCGTGGAGATGTCCTCCAAAGGTTCGTTCGAGCTGAACAGAGATAGCAAGCCCACTTGCCGCTGGCATTCCTCAAGCTTGGCTATTGTTGCGTTGACATCACTGCGGTATGCATCCGTGTTGCTGTCGGGGCGGGCTTCTAAAGCTGACTTTTCAGCTTTCGCTTCCGCAAAAAGGGTTCGTAGATTTTGCGGCTGCTCCATTGCGCTGCTTTGGGATTGTGAGGGGTAATGTTGTATGAATTCAAAAGCTCCGCTGGAGAATGACTGCCGATCGGCAGATATGAGGGCTGTTTCATACACCGGCGTTTCTTTCTTACATTAATTACTGCCCAGTATCCACCTCACTAAGCTAAGCACGGCATTATAAAGGTCACGTGATATATGCGTAGCATAGTGCATGGTTCATCTTTGATCGGTAAGAGGATGATTACTTACGAAATGCCTGGGTTATTTACACTATTGCAAGAAATATCTACTTGAATCAGGAAAGCAACGTAAAAGGACTAAGCAATGTCTGGAAAAATCCATGCATGGATTGCCCCGCGTATATAGCCTTTGCCCCGCGGTGCTTCCCTTCTCTGAAGTATATATAGTGCCATCTTGTAGAACTCATCACTACTACTCAGTACTCCGATGGAAGTACATCGATAAAGCACCTCGTTGCTTTATAACTCTCACAACTATCAGCACTTATTAGTTCTTCACCTAATAGCTGTCACACACATCAACCTTGACCAACTAACAGGGGTGAAAGCAATAGCCGGTCTCCATCTTCCGCTGTTTGTCTCCGTTTGTGACACGACCATCGGCTGCCAGTGACTGCTCCCGGTGACATATTCACATCCTTTTTATCTTATTTTCTTCACTTACTGCTTTTAATGGGAAACACAGTCTTCTCGCACCTTCGATTGTTGATTTAGCCTTGAGCAGCTTTTCTGCTTCAGAACCAACTGTAGGATAAGACAACAATGCCATCAGCTCACGCTTTCAATATGGGAGTAAATTCCGATCTTCATGGGCCTGATCAGAACCTACCCGTGGAAACAATAAAAGGGCGCGCCGTGACGATGACTGAGGATATACTACAGGAAGATGACAGATCATCGGATGAATCCGACAATGACGAGCACGAAGACCAGATCATAGCAGGAGTTTCACAGCAACGTATTACCCAGAACGCAAAGTTCAAAGACCTGTCAGTACTTGAGTCCCTAAAGTGAGCATACAGGAGCGCTAATATCCATCAAGTCTTGCACAGCGTGCTGATTCAGGCCCCATCCATGACGCTAAAGTCACCCATGACCTGCCAGATGCTCAGCTTTCCACTGCGCACTTGGTAGCGAAACAAGACCTTGGAATTGGTACGCTGGATCCAAGAGAGTATCAATTGGAACTATTTGAGAGAGCGAAAGCGCAGAATACAATTGCTGTACTTGACACGGGTACTACCTTCACACAAAGATGAGTTGACTTGATGCGAGCTAATGATAATGTAGGCTCTGGGAAGACTTTGATTGCAGTGTTGCTACTTAAACATACACTGGAAAAGGAACTGAATGATCGCGCGGAGGGGAAGCAACATCGAATAGCCTTTTTCCTTGTGCGTTTCGCAATCTTCTTCTGACCCAAAATAGATGCTCTAACACAGGAACAGGTGGATAGCGTTACACTCGCATACCAACAGGCCGCGGTACTACGCAATAACTTGGATCAGAGTGTCGGGCATTTCTTTGGAGCTATGGGAACTGACCTGTGGAGCAAAAGTGTCTGGGAGCAGCACTTCCAAAAGAACATGGTGATCGTCTGTACAGCGGAGATTTTAAACCAGTGCCTGCTCAACTCCTACGTCAAGATGAGCCAAATTAACCTCCTAATATTCGATGAAGCGCACCATACAAAGAAAGATCATCCCTATGCACGGTGTGTATGATCTGACTTGAAACACATACAAAAGCTAATTACACTTCAGCATTATACGTGAATCTTACCTCGAAGAAGACCCCTCAAAGCGTCCACGAATATTTGGAATGACTGCATCACCCATTGACACAAAAGGTGATATAGTCGATGAAGCTACGTATGTTATGAAAACTGGAGCAACAAATGTAGTACTAATGCAGAATAGGAGACTTGAGAAGTTGCTTGACAGTAGGATAGCTACGACTTCCAACATGTCACTTCTACGGCAGGTGGTCAGGCGTCCGGTGGAGAGAGTATGGTCCTTCAACAGGTTGGAGCAACCGTTTGCTACTAGCCTATATAAGCAGCTTGAAGATCGTTTTGGAGACATGGCGTGCTTGGAGGGTATATTCAGATTTGCTTGGCAGGCCAGCTCTGAGCTAGGCCGATGGTGTTCAGATCGAGCATGGGCGCGTGCTTTAGCAGATGATGTATTGCCCAAGCTCGAAGGTAATGTTCGTAAGACGGCAAACTCTGAAACATCATCTGATGTGCCCGAAAGTGCTTACAAAGAGATCTTGCGGATAACGGAAGCCAGTGAGATAGTGAAGGGCTATGAATTCAGCAGTCCTGAGGCTTTTGGCCAGCTTAGCCCCAAAGTGCAAGTCCTTCGCGAAGAGCTTGTCCACTATTTTGGACGACCGACGGAGACAAAATGCATTGTTTTCACGCAGAAGCGCTACACAGCTTTGATTCTGTCTGAACTTTTTCAAACCCTGAATGTTCCCTTCCTTCGGCCTGGTGTGCTTATTGGTGTCCGGTCTGGGGATTTAGCAGGAATGAACATAACTTTCCGCCAGCAGTTTATTTCCTTGGTCAAGTTCAGGACCGGCGAGATCAATTGCTTGGTAAGTACTAGAATCCGTCTTCCAGTGTATCAAATGCTAACAAATCTTAGTTCGCTACATCAGTTGCTGAAGAGGGTCTGGATATTCCTGATTGTAATCTGGTCGTTAGGTATGGTGGTAACTCTGCTGTTCCCTACCCGAGTGCCTAACCTGATCAAATAGGTTTGATCTTTATCAAACGTTGATCCAATACGTGCAAAGCCGTGGGCGGGCGAGGCATTTCAATTCAACGGTAAGACCAGATGCTAGACGTGTGTTACAGGAATTAATGTCCGGAATTACAGTATGCGAGTATGGTCGAAAGAGGAAACCTGGATCATGAGCAGAGGCTACTTGAGGTTCAAGATGCTGAAGTAAGTCCCTATGAACAAGAAGCTGTATTCAAACTAACATGACAGAAAATGATGCAAAACTTTTGCAGAACCCTCCCCGAGGATAGGCTACTATATGGCATTGACCACGATCTTGATACAGTGTTACAGAAAGACGAGGGCAACAGGACTTTCAAAATCAAATCTACAGGTGCTAAGCTAACCTATCATTCAGCAACGGCGATACTTGCTCGGTACGCTAGTTCTTTGGTATGTGTGACATTCAACTAGGATTACGTGTCAATCCCTAACGAGTCGCGGTCTGTAGCAATACGAAAAGGAAATTTCGGCCCAAGTAACATATGTAGTGCTTCCTATCAACGGTGCCTTTGTTTGCGAGGTTATTCTACCGGAAAAGTCACCTATCCGAGGCCTCACAGGAAGCCCAGCAATGAAGAAGTCCATTGCGAAGCGCTCTGCGGCCTTTGATACATGTCTTTTACTTCGGAAGAACAAGTTGCTCGATGACCATTTCAATTCAATATACCATCGTCGCCTTCCGGCAATGCGAAACGCGAAACTTGCAATAACATCGAAGCGCACC